TTTCAATTACCAAAGCAAACCAACTGTTCGGGTTATTAAATCTAAAGACCAAACCAAACCAATAAAAGTCAGGTTTTTTAGTCTCGGGTTTTTCGAATTTTCGGGTTTTTTTTCTTCCATAAAGTCTTCATAGCATAATACATAGAATTTGTGTTCCAAATATTTCTGTAATCCTAGTAAGACATAACTGTATAAGGTGTTTTCTAATAAAATAACATAAATATGAGTGAGTCATATCATTGTACTAAAATATTCAATAATAAATTAAATATAATAAAATTGCATAAAATAAATAGTATTATTAATAAGAGATAATGAAAACAAATATAATTTAAAATTACTAATTGCTAAAATAAGTACGACTAATAAGTACTACTATTATTTACTTAACTAAACACTAAAAGAAAAATAAGTTATGCATTTTATCTAAACCATGAAAAACAAAATAGCTATCCAACACTATTTTCTTTCATAGTACAATTGAATTGCATGTATTTTTATTAGCATTGGTATTGATTGGTTTCAATTTAGGATTTATTTGAGTAACTAACATTTATGGACTACAAAACTTATTGGAGCATCCAAAATTATAAGTCCAAGCTTGAGGTAATACGGTAAAGATAAAACTATGAAATATCTTAAGAAATATTTATAAACTACACTACAATAAATATTTCTATGCATTAAATATATTTAAAACTTCCATACATATAATGTCGGGTTGGTTTGGTTTCGGTTTGATTTTTTTTAGTTAAAACCAAACCAAACCAATTATGGTCGGGGTTTTTTCCACAACACCAAACCATAGTCGAATATTTTTCTCGGTTTGACTCTAATTATCGGGTTGGTGTGGTTTGTCGGTTTCGTTTGTATACCCCTACTTTACCCCAACACAAGTCTCAAGATAAGTCACAATTTTGTCGTTTGAACTATTGATTGCCTTAATTCCCCTTTTAAAAATGAAAATATCTTTTGAATACTCGTATATTTTATGATCTACACAAAATGTTATTAGAATCAAAAAGGAAATAACAAGGATGGTTAACAAAACAAGATATAGTATAAAGGACATTTTGTCGTTTACGTGCTTTTACACAGGGAGTTGTTATCCACATTGAATTTGTATATAATATAATACAAGGATTAAAATATAACTAATTCTGGTTCAATAAAATACCGGTAAATTGCCAACCAGAAGGTCAATTAGTAATGTAAAAATTTATAGAGAGATTATTTATTTCTACTAATAAAAATAATTATGTTATCCCTCCAGAAAATCATTTGAAATTCCTAGCATTGATCTTTTTCTTTACTGTCTTTTCTATGGACAACATCTAAGGTTCCTCGAACCATATGATATCTCACACTGAACAATTGTACGAACTCATCCCCAAAATCCCAATCGGTTAAAGCATCATGATACGTCATAACTATAGATTTTTTTTTTTTT